TCTTTTTACTATGGTTCTATACTGCCGATACTCGCATAATTGTCCCATTTTTGCTTGATTTCCTATTCATATGGGACAGTTATGCTTTTATGGGCAGTATAGCTCAATATCGAGCTAGTGGATATCGAGTTGTGGAGAGTTAACTGTATATTCTTTTCAATATGCCCATGGAATTATTCTCTGAAGTTTTTTAGGATTTACTGTCGTGTGATGCACGAGTAAATAGAAAAAAAAGAATGATGAAGATTATGAAGATTTACTGCAAAAGGATGGAGAAGGATGAGAGTAGATGGGTTTAGAAGGAAGAAATGGCAGAATACCTTTCGTAGAATCATTCATTAGCATAATATACTCGTAATCTCAGAAAGGAATACTTTTGGGCTGGATCCAATAGACCGTCGACTAAAGCTTAAAGTAACATGTTCTATTTTCTCATGCACATCTTTCGGCAACATATTGGTGGTGCAATTTCAAAAAACCAAAATTGACCGCATAACGAGAAGTGGTCAGGTTTTGACCACATAGGGGAAACGCTCCTATAGTTGCAGTACGTTAGAAGCGTTAGGTTCCTATAGTTGTGTACGGAGTCTCCATACACAACTATAGGAACCTAACGCTTCTAACGTACCGCAACTATAGGAGCGTTTACCCTATAACTCTGTCAATAGCGGATGGATTTTATTTCTAAACAAGCCAATCGATTAGAAATTTTGCTACGAATCTGCTTATTTGAATATTAATTATTATTAATTTTCAATAGGTCACTATTCAAAATTGCACAAATGTCCAACAGTTGCAATGGTGATCAAAATTATCACCGATTTCCTGCAAACAGCACTTTCCCTACCACAGATTTCAAAATTGAATTCCACCTGGTCTCACTGAACGGTGCGTATTAAATCACCGTGTGTGGTGGTGTGTGGTCGGTCGTCAGAAGCAGTAGCAGCAGTGCTTTCGCCGCGTGGCGTTGTAGATTGTTCTCCAGTACACCGAGAGGCTGCCCGCAAGCGTGAGCTGCAGCCCACTGAGTGGTCCATTCGTTTTTCTTTTTCTTTATTATAGAGATTTTTAGCCAGGGTAGCTAGCTAGTTCATCCCTTCAACGGTGGTCCATTCGCCGAAGAAGGAGGAAGAAGTTGCAAACAACGCCAGCCTTATCTGTGTAAAACACCTTAATAGCTCAGCATTACTCAACCATCACGACAAGTGGTCACCAAACTGTTCACCAATCAATCCAGGTGCAAGGCATGAGCACCGCTATCATCTCCAAGAACTCGAAGAAAGAATTGCACAGCATTGTTTTAAACTGGATCCAAGTTTTCAACCCATCGGTCCTTTTCAGGACCACAAATGACTGATAAAAGAGTTAACTAAAGACTTCAAGTAAGAGCTTCCCAACAAACAATTTGAGTTGCTTAACAGCTGAATAAGCTATTTTTTAGCTGAAGAAGCTTGTTTTTGCCTGAATAAGCTCTTATTAAACTTTCAATGTTTGTTGGGTTGTATCCAAGACATATCGTCCAGGATTGGCTACCTGGACACCGACAGAGCACCTCAAAAACAGAACTCTCAAACTGCTTCCGATTTTCAACCTATCGAACTTTTTCATTGATAACGAAAAAAATCAATTAAATATTTTCTATTCTTTTGCTGTGACATCAAAACTACCTTCGTAATCCTACGTCAAATCTACGGTCGTGTCTTGGATACAACCTCTTACTTTTTTGTGGATCCTCATATCATTTGAGTTATATGGTTTTATGTGTTACATGAAAAGTTTAGGCTAATATTATAATCAGGCAACTTCCCTTTGGATTCCCTGCAGAAGGGCTGTTACTGAACACGCGTTTGAAACCAGCATGAAAATGGAACATCTAAACAACCTGTTAATTTTCCCATTGATTCAGAATAAGATTCTGAACCAAAACGTCGAATCTTATTAAACAAGAACCTAAAAAATGTTGGATTTAACCAAAATGTAGGAAGTGTGACAGCTGTAGTATCAACAATCAATACGAAACTAACGATTTTCAATTGGCTCACTACTTGACTAGCCTATTGGTCCCAAGCAAATGAATAACGTACCCCATTCTAGTCGAAATTCTAGTACTACACAATTGATTCGCTATGAAAGTTTGACAGATAAAATGAAGGGTTAGTGGATATTCCTATGTTTCGAGGGGTGAATCGATTAGCTTGGGACCGAAGAGAGACCCAGAGCTGAGCCAAAAGTTGAGCACGTTATTTCGGGACCTTCTAGTCTTAGAGCCACCTCTATGGTAGTATACCCCTGGCTTCTGGAACGTTTTTAATAATTACCATTGTGGTTCTAGGCTCTTTTTCCATCAATTAAAGATTTAATTCATGCGTCTTAAAGTTTAACATGCTTGTTTTATTTTACAATTTGTTCCAGTTAGCAAGAAATACTTCTTCTAAAATTTATATAAATTAATCTGAAATTTGAAATCATTGTCGGCGTATTAAAATTTTTAACGGCAGCGCGCCAACTCAAAATCATCCGTGGCGGCGGTGCACAGCTCTTTGTTGTCAACATTTCGTGGTTAAATTGTGGGCTCTTCCCTAGGCTCTTCCGCCTATTAATTGGGGCATTCTCCTGTTAGATGACTCGTTTTTAAGCTTGATCAAGTAAAACAGTAAGGATAGCCCTCAGCTGTCGGACATAGTTTTCGTGCTACAATGGGTGGGTAACCTATATCATGAATCATCATCATGCATTCAGTCCTCAAATATTGTGGCACTGGGCCTCCATAAACGTAAATCCTTCCCTATACAATACATTCCTAGCTCTACCGTATAATATTTTTTTTTATTGATGTGTGGAAGTTAAAATTATAAATAATTTATGAATTATTCACGTAATCTATTGATAATTTATCCACTCTATTTTAATTATAGATGGAAAACGGTATTATAAGTAACAGAAATACCACAGACAAACAGACATAACACACTGAATATTTCTCATTGTAAAACATCGTCGCTAAAATATTACCGCCATCTGTTGAGTACACTGTGGTGAGTAGTACGCTGAACAGATGGCGGTAGTGTGTAAACGTCAAACGCAAGGGAATTGACTATACACGCCACAGGTGGCAGTACTACCATAGAGGTAACTCTAAGACCACTGGGTCCCGAAGAAAATCATTATTATTTTTGGCTCACTCAGTACCAGAACAACGGTCCCAAGCAGTCCCAAGCTATTTCACTCACCCCTGCATGTTCTGCATGAATCCACACACCCCTGATGTTATCTGTCAAACTTTCATAGCGAATCAAAACAAACATAGTGTAATAATAGAATTTCAACTAGAATAGGGTACGTTAATCGTTTGCTTGGGACCAATAGGCTACTAAAGTGGTGAGCCAATTTAAAATCGTTAGTTTCGTATTGATTGTTGGTACTACCAACAATCAATATGAAACTATCGATTTGAAATTGGCTCACTACTTGACTAGCCTATTGGTCCCAAGCAAACGATTAACGTACCCCATTCTTGTCGAAATTCTAGTACTACACAATGTTTGTTTTGATTCGCTATGAAAGTTTGACAGATAAAATGAGGGGTTATTGGAATTTCCTATGTTTCGAGGGGTGAATCGATTAGCTTGGGACCGAAGATAGTACCAGAGCTGAGCCAAAAAGTAGAGCTCGTTTCTTCGGGATCTACTAGTCTTAGAGTTACCTCTATGGTACTACCAACTGAGATACTTTTAAATTGACCGTTAAATGCTTGGTCTTTGAACAACTTTTGAGTGTTATGTCTGTTTGTCTGTGGAAATACATTCTTCGGTGCATGGACCAATTATATTTTCGTTTGACAAATCCCAGGTAATCATGACAGCAGTAGGTCTCTTTTCTTCATTCATATTGTTTTCTGTGGTTAAATGTCATGATTACCTAGGAAATCTGTAAAATTTTGCAGAAATCTCTATAGCTAAACGATCGGAAATTAGTTCGGTGATTTGTTTCAGTTACCGAAAAATCTGTAATTATCTAAAAAACAGTTTTTTTACGTGCAATGCAAAACAGTTTGGAGCTTAGTTGTTCCACTTTCCGTTATAGTGCTGAAGGTGATAATTGTTGGCTTAAAGAAATATTTATAAGTAAATCGTGATTTAAACAACTGTGTTATGATACTCACACAATATTCTGACCATTCCTTCGTCTTGAATATGTGAATTATGCATGAAATTATTCCTTTTTACATGTACACGCAAACTGTTGGTTTAAATTTCAGTTTTGACAAGTTGCCTTCTCAAGTTGTTTACAGAAGTTCGGTGAAAAATATCCGATTTCTGCTAATCAGACTTCGGTTACAGATCAAGACCAACCATTGAAATGGCCTTAACTCCATTTTGTAAACAAACCTTGTAAGGCCATTTTCTCGCGAACCGAAGTCCGCAAAGGCAAACCAACATAATAAAAAGGTAGAGGAAATTCTCTTCTACCCGATTGTGATTTAGGTTTGCGAATGAAGGTTTGGGTTCGCGAGAAAATGGCCTTACCAGGTTTGTTTACCAATTGGAGTTAGGGCCATTTCTCGATGAACATTTCAAATGGTCCTATCTGCTTTGATCGATTCTCTTCATCGACTTTCTCTTTTCATAACCACTGCTATGCAAACAGAATTCACGCTAATTCTACCACATAGTTCGATAAAGGAGGTTCTTATCTAGCGTCCAAAATGTCAAATACAACAGGGAAATGTTTTGCAGCTGAGTTATTGACGAAAGAGAAAGTCGATGGAGAGAATCGATCAATGCAGATAGGACCATTTGAAATGTTCATCGAGATTTCAATTGTTGGTCTTGAGATTATTCTATGTTTTTCAACATTTACAGTTATTTCGGTAATATAAAGATAAATCAATCACTTATATAGATTACTTTTGCTGCACATTTTGTAAGTTTAATTGTACAGGCCAGTGTATTTGTTTTACAGAATTTCCGTGAAAAACTATATCAATTCTCGTTATTCACCTGAATTTCCAATTATCCACAGAACCACTAGTGCGATACACTCCAGTTTTAAAACATTTCTGACGAGAAAACATTGTTGAAACCACTAAAATTTTTCATTAAACTTTTATCACTAGTTTGGTTCCAAATTTGGTTACGGTAACCATGGAAACGCTGAAAATGAAATGTTTCATTCATGTAAGAAACGTTCTAATTGGACAGGCACGACACAAATCCGCTTCATAGTCCCCTTCATATCATTCATTAATTTGCCATTCTAATACGTATACATATTTTGACAGCTGCAATGAATGTTGAACTACAAATACCGTTACATACTCATTGTTTACATGGCAATGCTAGTCCACTACTATTATTCTACGCGGAGGCTTGCTTTTCATTCTCTCTCTCTTTGTTTGTGCCTCTCGAAAGTGATATTATGAATGAGATCATATAGAACAAAAAACAGTAAAGATCAGCGTTTTAAAAGTTGAAAATGTTTACAGTTGAATGGGAGGTTGAAATTAAAGTCGATAATTTAATGATTTACACCTTAACCACTATTCTTAATTATATCAAGTTTCAATTTAAGAGTATTTAGAGCAGTGCAGATACACACAGCAAAAAAAAATGTAATATCGATCAACGTAATTCAAGCTGATGTATGAAATAATGATGTAAAAGCAAAAAGCAGATACAATATTACATCAATGGATGTAATTTTGTTCGCAAAATCGATGTACATCGTACAATGTGATATTACACAACCGATGGATTGACCTGGTTGCATCAGTTTCGATGTAATATTCAACAACTTTTTTTGCTGTGCAGAGTACCCACAACCTTTAAAAACGGTATTCGCGAGCGTATTTTTCTGATCAATCACCTCAATCACACATCTAGAGGCGTGGTATACCGTTGTATGGTATGTCTGTCGGTGTGACACTTTCAGGTATACAAAACAGTTGAATTGCTATCGACTGGAATCGCGAACACCGCTAGGCGAGCAGTGATAATGAGTCACTAATCAGTAGAACGTGGATAAGATAGGTCGGGTTTTGTCGGTGGAGTCAGTGAGATTTTCACGGTCCTCTCGAAGTTATTGCTTGGAGTCAAAAAAATGCCATTCATTGTGGTAGATGTATATGCCTTCTCACGTTGATGACACAAAGTGAAAGTTTTCTCCATAGTTGCGAACGAGTGCCTTATATACCTTTATGATCACGAGTTTGGATTTCGGCTGCAGACGGAATTGATTAAAAATCATCGTTTATCTTATCAAAAACTGTTTTACGATAGAAAAAAATTTCGATACCTGCTGAAATTCAAAGACACTATAATGGCAGCCTATCTCAATAACCAACAACAAATGCAGAGCCCAACGGACGCACCTCATGAAATAATTCCACTACAACGTTTGACCACTCGAGAAGAAGCTACGGAACGACAACGTATCCGTGATATCTTCGATAAAGTAAGTTTACTTTGCATCTAAATGATTTATTGTAACAATGTTTTTTTTTTTATAGTATGATCGAAACAAGACCGGTTTGTTATCGATTCAAGAACTTAAGCGGATGATCAACAATCGGAGATGTCCGGATCTACCAAAAGGATTTGCGAAAAACCTTTTAAAAACCGCTGATCAGAACAATGATGGTCATCTGGATTTTGAGGAATTTTATCAGATGTCCCGAGAACATCACTATCTGTTCCGGGATATGTGTGTACGATACTGTAAATTGGTGGTACCTAGTCGGAATCCAATGACAGTAGACGAAACTGGTAAGTAAAACATTATTGGATTGATCCCCCTAAATTGCGCCCCAAACTAATCATTTCGTCGTGTTTCCTAAATATGCTTACACAAGGCCCAGCATCGGCATTCCAACGACAAATATCCACTGTGACTGTTATTTCCGAACGAGGTTGGTAGTTTTTGTGAACAAAATGTCCCCATCCAGAGATTTGCCATATTACACCATTTCGCTTGATAACATTATTCCTTCGAAGGCCGCATAGCATTTTTAACATCTGACTCGTGTTTCGTCATGAATTTTCGATTGTGCTAATCAGCTTATACTCTTTGATTCTGGTACTATTTTCATCAACACATTGGTGCTGGGAGATAAGAGCGTTTCATCCAGTAAAAAATTAACACATTTCTCAAAACAGACATTCCACCCATATTTGCCAGCATTATTGGCTAGGTAAAGCCCGACCGTGTGATTCACAGCTTGTGTGATATCACTTGCTGGGTACAAATAGAACAGGTGATTACATTATCGTAACCACTTGTTTAAATCACTGGCTGTTATCTCTGAAATTATTAATTTTAGGAATCGAGCTTGTTGATCATTATTAAACAAACATATTAAAGTTTTACAATATTTGGAGTAATGTGAGTTTGCGAAATTGTTAAAATGATAAAGAAAATTCAGACCAGTAATTTACCGAATAGTACCTATCCGCAGTTATCATTGACTTAACTTTTAAATGGATCATAATTTATAAGGAATTACAAATTAAGGTTAAGGATATAGGATAATATATACATTCATAATAATAATTATCATCATAATAATTAACCTAATTATCCAGGTTATTTTTTTATATATTTCATATTTAAATTGGATTCGAAATATTTAATATTTTATTTAAATTCATCATCTTCAATTCCACTTGACAATACATAAACTTTAAGAGAAGATACACTGAGTAGTAGATACTAAGTACTCTACGAAGCACAACCTGCACTGCCCTAGAATAAATTTTGGATTCTCTTTGGTATATCCTTACAATTTTCTTTTAGCGTTTTTAATTTTGTCCAACTTTAAAATGCCACAGTTCCATGAATAATTAACCGATTTTAAGAATCTATGACGCAAGATGAAAGGTCGAAGGACAAAAGGTCAAATGGATTAAAGGTCGAATTGAATTTAGAGGGATAAAAGGTCGAATAGACAAAAGGTCTAAATGGACAAAAGATCGAATTGACTAAAGGTCAAATTACAAAATTGTTAAAATTGGCAAAAGGTCAAATAGACAAAAGGTGGACACAAATTCAAAAAAGCCAACATCAAAATTGACAAATTGTTGTATCGACAATTTTGGCTCAAAGTTTAATAGAACTTTAAAAAATGCTCCCAAAGAAATCTCGATGAACATTTCAAATGGTCCTATGTGCTTTGATCGATTCTCTTCATCGACTTTCTCTTTTCATAACCACTACTATGCAAACAGATTTCGCGCTAATTCTACGACATAGTTTGATAAAGGAGGTTCTTATCTAGCATCCACAACGTCAAATACAACAGGGAAAGGTTTTGCAGCTGAGTTATTGATGAAAGAGAAACTCGATGAAGAGAATGCTCATTTTTAAAATAGGAATATATTCAAGCGAAAGGGAGTTATTTGTCTCTTAAATTGCCGTAACACGCACAGTAAGTATGTGTTGTCTTAATTATCAAAAAAAAAAACTTCTCTTGCTTTAAAGAAGGAAAAATATTTGAGAGTTATTCTCTAACAATTTATCCATTTCGACCTGTTGTCCATTCGACCTTTTGTCCATTCGAACTTTTATTAATTCAACCTTTTGCTCATTCGACCTTTTGTCCATTTCAACCTTTTGTCCCTCTATATTCAATTTGACCTTGTGTTCCCTCGAGTCGACCTTGTGTCCTTGGACCATTTCTGGAGTCGTAACGTAAATAAATTGATATTTTAAAGGTATCAGGCACTACCTCTGCTTACTCTTCCAAGGGAAAATTTTTTGATCCGCTACCTCATTTATGTTTAATTTGCTCATTAAAAAAAACTATTTGTCATATGCGTCAACAGATCAAAACACAGCTCAATGTTACATGCGTCACCTAACTTCTATGGAGGTGTAAATCGCCGTATGTAAGAAATTTGACAGAAGCGTAAAAACTGTACATACGACCTGTTGTTTTTTCTAATAAAAGTGCAATTTTTGCAAATCTTCAATGTAAAACAGTTGTGGCTGGTCCATAAAATGATAACTACGCTTTCCGTGAGATATTACTTATTTTAATACTTTTTTAAACCGCTGAAATGTGGTCGAATGTTAAAAAGAAACAAACCTAATTCGAACATTTATCGAACGTAGACACTACAAAATTCAGTTCAATGCAGATCACGATCTTCACCAACGTGGGTAATTTGTAATTCAAGAGCTCATGGAATTATGTTGAATAAACTTCTTTACAACCAAAAACAGCCATACAAAGGTTATCTAAACTGTTATAGAACTTATGTGTTGCTTGGTAAGTGCACAGATTTGCATATAAGTCCCATATGGAACAAGTGGGCATTGGGAACTTGGCAGTTGAAGTAACGAAGTGCAATTTCGATATAAATAATTGAAAAATCCTAGTAAATTTATTGAATTTTTTTTTCTAGTTATAATCAGTGGCAATGAAGTTTGCATGTTTTGTTATATCAGCAAAAAATATGGTAATTCAAAAAGCAGAATTTTAACTTGACTTCTGAATGGTAGGATTTTAGAATATGACTGATATGCGATTACTTTGTTCGATGGGACAAACATACTTGATCTTGTTTTCACATTTTTCACGAACAAAGTCCATAGTTTTATTACATAATATAATATGATGCGAAATGATAGTGGATAGTGTTGGTATTTATAAATTTATAAAAATCCATATGGGACTGATTTGCGATTCTAGGCAGTGTAAGATAGTCTAAATGCGTCCATTCTATAACACATAATATATATAGTTAGTTCAAATGCTTCTTCAAAGCTCCGTTTCTATCGTGATTCCACTTACCTCATGGTTATGGATTGCATGGGGTAAGTGAGACTTGTAATTATTTGATTTAATTTCCTTAAAATATCAAAGTTTTCCATCGAAAATAGTTAAATGATTTATTCTGATTGCCATAGAAAATTTTCAACAAAACTGGTTTTGTTGTATTATTTCTACATAAAAAGTAATATAAAAGATTAAATTTTATATCAATAACTTTGTAAAATATTACTAAAGACGGGCTTTTTCTCGAATTTCTTCCAGGTTTGTTCACCATAAGCATTCAACACAATCTTTCACATTCTAATATCAGATCAGATCAAATCAGATAAAATTATAAAATTTCTGTCACACAAGGCAAGCAATTTTTGAATTTGCCAAATTTGCTCTAAATTGATGAAAAACACACACTATTCAACAAGTGGATGATTTATTCAGCCAGATCTCGATAGATTCTGCTTCTTAAAAAACTTGTAGTCATTATTTGCATTTAAACTCACAGAGCGGACCACTTCAAAATGGTCTAGCGCTAGAGCTCGTACGAGTTCAGTTGAGTTTTTTTTTGCAATGGAATCGACCTTTCACTTGTCAGATGATAGCTTAGAATTATCTTTGCGAACTGTGGTGACAGATTATGAGATGAATATGAAACCGGTGTTGCTCAGCAGCCAATAATTTATTTGTTGGTCATTGAGTCACTATTACATAAATACAGATCGTTTTTGTTTTTAAAACTAACCAGAATAAATAAAAAGTTGAAGTTCTAAACAATACAAAAAAATATTCCTTATATCTAAATAATAAATCTTTTTTTTAAATTTAATCTGTTAAACTTGCCGACAAATAAAATTTTGCTATTGTTGGACAAAACAAAAGCCTATACATCCATAGATTAACTATTGCAGTATTTTGAACAAGTAAAACATTGCTATTTTTGTTATTGTACTAGCCATAAGCGATAATTTGTTTTCGATGGAAGTGAGAAACATTCGGAAAGGACATTATCGTATTAATTTATAGTTTTAATAATTTGATTTGAAATTTTAAATTGAAAATTGTGTTTTTCCTGCTATACAGTACTACCCAACAAAAAAATTGAGCTGTAAATTTATACACAATATACTTTCAATCAAATTTTTTTTGTTAATTGTAATCGTGAAGTTTACGATTTTCAGAGTTAGGAGGAAATGTTAAACTAATATCAACTTTAAATTTTTAGTGCGATGCATATTATTGTGGCCAGTGCTGCAAAATCTCGACAATACACGGTGATATTGACAATTCTGCTTTGGTCACTCATTTGAGCTAACAGTCATAGTCAAGGCAAACCATGTCAATTGTCAATGACAATGCTGTCAGTGACGAACATGTGTAGATTTTTATATTAACTAAATTTGTAACGATATTTACTGACTTGAGCAACACAATTACATGAAGCCGTTAATGTGAACAAGCATCTACCTTCTGAACTACTTGGTTTACAATAATGTGACACAGAATGTATGAAATTACACTTTTTGTTACCAGGTGAATCTTTGTCATTGACGAAAAAATGAATGAGATTTTGACGAAGGTTTTTTTGAGGATCAAGTCTGTCAGTGACTATGTGACGAACAATTTTGTCAATATCGCGCGAAAGTCTGTCAATGACAATGACAAATCTCAGCACTGATTGTGGCATTAATGGCCCTTCGTTCAATTTCAACTTCTGTTCAATTTTCACACTGCCGTACACTAGTGAAACTATCAATCTATCCTCTTCACAACTTTATCTATCGCCCTACAGCTTCATGTTGATATTAGTATAGCATTTCCTGCCAACTCTGACAATTTAATTCTTATTAACCTACTGTTTTCGGGGCGTAAAATATTTACACCATATACATAAAAATGTTAACTAATATGTATAGTAGGTGTATTTACTACATCGTAAACATAAACACTGTCGTTAAAAATACCAGGGTCCATTTAAGTGTAGTCCATAGATCAGAAAACATGATCACAGTTATGAAAATACCCGACTAGGATTAAAAGAAAAAAATATGAATACCCCTACTTACGCTTCGTTAGTAAGAATATCCAGGCCAAATAACAAAAAAAATGGCTCGGCTTTTTCCGATTTGAATGAAACTTGGCATATTTGTTATGGGCAATTATTCACATTTTTGCAAAAAAAAAATGTCTATTTTGGATCTTGAGATTTTTTTTCTCCAAAATGACGTCTTTGACATTTTTCAAAGAATCGTAGCACGAAAACGACACTTTCGATCGAAATGACATCTGAGATAAAATTATTGAAAAAGTAAAGCCTTTCTGGGAAAAATATACACGGTATTTTTTAAAACAATTTCGAGTAATAATGTGTAAATATTTTCTTTGAATTAGTTTAATTTTAAATTCGCAGCTCGTAGAGCATAAACTCTTGGTAATATTTTAATAGTTCTTGTTAGCAAGCTTTTTAATTTTTGCACAGATAACGATTAAGATTGTCTCAAATATTGTTTCGTGTGTTGAAAAAATTAAATGAGAAAAAATTCAAACATTTAACAAAAAATTCTGTGATTTATTTTCAATTTTAAAGTGTCATTTTTCATGAGCTTTTAATACAAATTTGAAGAGATATTTTAGTTTTCAACTCTTTTTTTGAATTTTTAGCAAATAATTATACAACATTTCTGGCAATTTAGAGAAGGTAAAGTTTTTTTCTGATTCGTCATTTGGCGTGGAACTGCTCTTGCTCATACAAACAAACTTCGGTTTTGTGCTTTAACGACGGAAATTCTAATTAGTTTAATAAGTTTTTTTAACATCATTTTTATCGCTAGTTAATTATTATAATGTGCAAAAATTTGAACTTAATTAAATAAAGCAAAAGACAGCACAAGGAATCAGGCAGTGTATGTTGTCAACAGGCGTCAACATTCTGACTTTAATTTCTCAGCTAATATTTGCTATGCCTACTTCACAACTACCAAATCACATCAATGACATATCTATAAATCACATTATAACATTTTGTACAAATCCACAAAATCAGCATTACAACATCAATATATCTTTTACAGATGGCGAGTATGAACGTAGCATGAGTCTTTGGCCCCCTCCGTTGACTATGATAGTATTTTCGATAGTGGAAATCATTTTCTTCGTCATAGACATTATTGAAACCAATAAGTAAGTATTTAGTTAACTAGCACAGATGGTAGACAATATTATCTTTAATCAACAGTCAGATGGGAACTAGTACCAACGGTCCAATGGCAACGCTATTCATCTACAATCCTCAGTTGAGGCAAGAAGCGTGGCGATTTGTTACTTACATGTTCGTTCATATAGGGTATGTAATTATAATGGTTCAACATTTGTAATATTCTAAACGTTCTGGATCACTTTCAGTTTCATGCACATTGTAATGAATCTATTGGTGCAAATATTCCTGGGTGTTGCACTGGAATTGGTACACTGCTGGTGGCGTGTAGCTCTAGTTTATCTAGCTGGAGTCTTAGCAGGATCAATGGGTACTTCAATTTTCTCACCGCGAGTGTTTCTAGCCGGAGCATCCGGAGGCGTTTATGCTCTCATCACTGCTCACATTGCCACTATCGTTATGGTAGGAAATGGTGTTAACCCTTCATCATGCAATATTGTATAACTAATCGTTGAATCTTGTTATTTTAGAACTGGAGCCAAATGGAGTATGCAATCGTACAATTGTTCGTGTTCTTGGTGTTCTGCGTGACCGATTTAAGCGTATCGATCTACAACAGCATTTACGACCCATTTGACAAAGTTGGTTACATCGCACATGCCAGCGGTGCATTGGCAGGCTTTCTGGTTGGCATTGGAGTTCTACGTAATCTTAAAGTTAACGCATGGGAAAGAAAGCTGTGGTGGTTTGCTGTTACTATCTACTTCCTGCTTATGGGTGCCGGAGTTTTATTCCATATTTTCTACCCGGATCGCTTTTTCCCTAAGTTTGCCTAAGGCAGTTTTCTGTTAATTTTATTGATTTCTACTTAGTTTACGACGAAAACGAACGGAGTTTAGTTATACTGATTATCCCAAAAGACCATCAATTGCCTAGCATTAAAGCATAGAATGACAGTGCGAATGCCAAGCAAACTCATGCCTGATATGACATGCCTATATAGTTATTTAATTGAAAAGCAAACTTTTTTGTATTTTAAACTGTACCGCCAATGTGCCTTTTGACATCTTTACTTTAGATGTATTGTATCCTACTTAAAATCGTACTTTACAATGAAAACTAGAAGCACAATCCAATTCGAAAAACTTACGTTTATGCGCGATTCAAATATTTATTTTTATGTGAACTGGGTAAATTTTAATGCCATAAAGCATGACTTTTAAATTATGAGTTAACGATAGCGAAATAATTAAATGTAAGTTTTCGCCTAAACTGTGCAGACAATCTATATTTACAAAATAATAATAAAATTACATGAACACGATTATTTAACCCGTTTTTTTTTTTTAATTTGATCATTTTTGACTGATTATTAAAAATCAGCATAAACTATGAGGGGGTGGCGAAAACGGCTCCCGACAAGGGTGGTAAGGCAAAGAGTAAATTCACATGCCACTTTTCCATGACATTAATTGAATTGAAATTTACCAATGGGCGTAAGCGGCGCCGGTGGTGGCAGGCCTGGGTTCAATCCCAGTCGGCGCCGCCTGGATGTTCTAAGCCATAACATCTTTGATCACGCCTCCTTCGGAAGCGAAGTAAAGCCGTTGGTCCCGGGTTCATGAGTTGATGGGTCGATGTGTAGGGTCCAGGTGTGGGAGCTGCCTCCCTGGCGTCGGTAGCATTGGTGCTCAGCACGGAAAACAAGATCAACGGAAACAAATCAAGGAAAAAAAAAACAATGGGCGTAATTCCAACGGCATTCTGCAGACAACTTAGGAACTTTGAAAAGTATTCTTAATTACTTCCATAAAGAATTTCAAGGTTACTTCCATGAAAGAATTTAATTGGGTTTACGAGAAGATCTTCAGGTGAAATCTTTGGAGAACTCCAAGGGTAATATTAGTAAAAGGACATGATAATTATGCGGAGAATTCCGATGGAAAGAAGTCCAGGAGTATTCCAAAGGAGGGCTACGCTCATGCATTTGTCTTATGGGGTATTTACATCTGTGCGGATTTGCTAGCGCTAGTGTACTAGCCAACTAAACTAGCACGTATTTCAGTTGCTCCTGAAATCTCATGCTGGTAGACGCTGATGCCCTGTGTACATTATGCTAGTGAGATATTTGGCTAGCAGCTAGCTCATTAGCGCTATTGAAATAGCATAAGTGTAAACACCCCATTAAGTTCAGCGCTGGCTGGCGTTGCTAGATCGCTGCTCATCTCTCCATTTACGTTTCATCTCCGACAGAATTGCCCATCGTGATCCACAAAGCTTTTTATGAAATAATACATGCCGGGCCATGAAGAAACTTTATAACAAAATAATAAGCATCGATAAATATGTCATTTGAAAATATAGCTGTTTAAAAATAATTCACCGAGAGATCCCGAACAATTTTTAATTATTATTATTTTTGCCACATAACCATAAAGTAAGGAACAAACTTGTAAACAGGGTGGTTAAGAATAACTGTCACTTTTAAAAATAGTCATAACGGTCTCGTCATAAATAAATAGATAAAAACGCTTGCATGAATATGCCTCCCCAGTTCGGTCTCCATTTTACGTTACGCATATCCTTGGTTGAGCCAAAAAAGTTTTATAAGGTTTGTCTTGCGTCATCTCCCCTGGAATAACAAGCAACGTGGACTGTCCCGAACTCCTGGAACTGATTCCGTGGAATACTCCTCCTCGACGATTCCGTAAATCCCCGTTACTTGCAATTCCATTTCATAGAACGAACTTTGGATTCAATAGATATTTTAATTCTTGTTTACGTTCCTTTAATGATGTTTTAGCAAGTTTGATTTTATTTTAACCAAATATGTGTTTAGTGCTAGAATAAGGGGTTTAGATTAAATTAGGTTTTAAGTAATCAGTACGACGTAGTCGAAGATGGTGAGCATATAAATAAATATCACTATAGACTTAAGAATTTCACAAGGTTCGACTTTAAAAGATTTACAAGATTTATTTTTGTGGATACCTCTCCTTGTTCTTGGAAATTATTATTTTGTGATCTTATACTCCGTACAGACTATGGCTTATATCATGTAATATAGGCTGTCTTGCAATGAGCACTCATACATAAGATTTCCAGTAAAAACTAGGGTTGATGCATATATTATGTCAAGCTCTAAGGGGGGAGGGGGGGGGGGGGTCTAAGATTTTGTGACAAGCAATGCATTAGGTATAGGAAAAATGTCACGATAGGGGGGAGGGGGTAATTTTTTGCTCGATTTAGCGTGACATAATTAATGCATGGGCCCCTAGATGTATGAGTGCTCATTGCAAGACAGCCTATATTACATGATACAAGCCATAGTCTGTTCTGTACTAGAAATACTCAGAGAGAGAGATAGGCGGAGAAAACAAAAAACAATTCGGCAGCAGGGATTTGTTCCTAAATTATCTTGCAACCCTTGCCAGAAGCTAGCATTTCAAATGACTTGTATTTTTGATTCGATTTACGTGCAAAATAATAATTGATTGCATCGCAATATTTTGCACGTTTTTTGGTGCTATTAATTAACCAACAAAGATCAATTAATTAATAGAATTAGAATATTGCTTTTGATTCCAAAAACTAGTTGAATTTGAAAAGCACACGAAACATAAAGGTGATTGAATTTCTGTTCGATTGCAATAGCCTCACATTTAATCTAGTAAGAATGATAAATCATCGGAAAAAAGTCCAATTGGAATGCTCGTTTGGCTCAGATTTTGACAGTTCATTTGGCTCAAAACATACTCTCCGCCCATCTCTCCCTCTGAGTATTTCTAGTCTGTACGGGGTATTAAGATAAACATAGAAACAAAAAAAAAATACACCCTGCAAAATGAACCTCCATTCCATTTCTGATAAATAAATGCACCGGCAAAGTTAACCTGCTCCTTTTATGGTTGATGTGAGCCAGCAGAATAAAAATCTCTTTCCCAAGTAGACCGCTGATGGCTGGGATTGTCAAAGGCCCTACATATGTTTGTAGGAATCACATGCGCTTTTAAGATATACTTTATACTGATATTACTTACTTTATTCAATTTTCTCAACGATAAAACACACCGGTACCAGTGGTGTAGGGGTAAGCGTGATTACCTCTCACTCCAGCAGGCCTGGGTTCAATCCCAGTCGGCGCCGCCGGGATGTTCTGAGGCATATAGCATCTCTGATCACGCCTTCTTTCGGAAGTAAAGCCATTGGTCCCCGGTTCATGAGTTTGATGGGTCGATAGGTAGGGTCCAGGTTTGGGAGCTGCCTCCCTGGCGTCGGTAGCATTGGTGCTTAGCACGGAAAACAAGATCGACGGAAAGCAAATCCAAGGAAAAAAAAAAAACTATAAAACAGGTTTTCTATTTGTAGTAAGGATTCAAAAATAAAATAACATAGAAAAAACAACACAATTAACTCATAACCGCCATTCCAAACAAAAGCGTTTTCTTCTGTTTGTACCAATTGCAAAAACATAAAGCAACCATAAGCGAAACACGTAAGCGCTGTACAAGTTCTTTTCTAGTTTTATTCGTAATGTTTAGAAACAGTTCAATATAGTCTCGTATAGTTGATCAACCGTAACTAAATGTTGCTGGAACATACCAGAAACTGTAACAGTAGAAAGTATAGCATAGTGTTTCTTTTCTGTTTATTACATTCCATAAACCATAGCAAAACTATTTGGTACAAAGTTAACATAGCTAGTAAGTTGTCAGTGCAGTTTGAACTGTTCTAGAAATTGTTCATCGCTGAGTTCCTGCACTTTTGGCGATTATGAATAAACTAAACTCAAAATTTACTCACCGTTTGAGTCGATCGTACTCAATTTCGTCTGGATGCATTAGGTTGTCAAAATCTGAGTAAACGAGAAATGTGAATTCACTTAAACTCAGTAAAAGCAACAATCAATACGAAACTAACGATTTTAAATTGGCTCACTACTTGACTAGCCTATTGGTCCCAAGCAAACGATTAATGTACCCCATTCTAGTCGAAATTCTAGTACTACACAATATTTGTTTTGAATTGCTATGAAAGCTTGACAGATAAAATGAGGGGTTAGTGGATTTTCCTATGTTTCGAGGGGTGAATCGACTAGCTTGGGACCGAAGAGAGTACCAAGGCTGAGCCAAAAAGTTGAGCACGTTTCTTCGGGACCTTCTAGTCTTAGAGTTACCTCTATGGTAAAAGCCACTTAGTCAGCCAAATCCGGGAATAAGAAAAAAAAAATCTAAAAAACTAGCAAACGCTCTAAGAAACGGCGAAAATATTGCTTAACACTGGCCGAAATGTATTAAGGTAAGTAGGAATTGCATGCGGAGACGATTTTCAGTCGTCTTCAGCTCCGTTAAGTGAAGGTAATTTCCATTTTTTTTTTTTATCAAAACAGAAAAAAAAAATTTCCCAGAGTGGTTTTAACTATAGTCGCTATATTCATAGTCTGGCGGATAGAATTTCGATCTATCAAAAAGCGGATCAATTCAATATATTTTAGACCAACAATTGAAAAGGTACTATCAACTTTTGTAAACAATACGTTGATTATTCTTTCCTCGCCAATCGAACGCAAATTACCGACATCATCGGATAGGGGAAACTTTCCCCAACCCAAAAATGGTATTAGTTTGCGTAGGCGAGTCTTGAGTCACGAGAAAAGGGTTTCCGAGGTTTTGTTCACAATTGCTGATGTGCTCTCGGGTGGCTCTTTTCTGTTGTTGGTGATGATTTTCTCGATTGGTTCCGCTATTTGACAGCTCAATTGGTTCCCGAGATTCTATCCGCCAGACTATGAATATAGCTACTATAGTTTTAACTCCCTCTGCGCGACCACGTCGTTAACTCAACTGAGTAGCCATACTTCCCGCTGAAATGAGCATGTTCGACTCAATTTTTGAGTTGTTGAGAGTTACAGTGTACTTTTTGCGAGTTATGAGTAAACTGAAATCAAATTTGGGTTGATATTATTGGCTGTGTGTTTATTGCTTACAAAAGCAGCTTCGCCCTATTGAAATGATGGCACCAAATTTTCTTTTTGCGATGTTTGCTTCACATTTGGCTTCATATAAATTGAAATGTCATTAAAGTGTTTGTTTTCGTATTATCGATTCAGAATTTCACGTACAAATTTTGGATTTTCTTCAAAGTGTTTTTATAAAGAAGTGCAAAATTAGTTATTATCGGTGATTTTCATCAGCAACCATGCCTGGAGACGATATGCATGAGCCGGAGACCCCGGCAACCCAACGTCTTACGAATGATGACTTCCGAAAGCTACTGATGACTCCGCGAGCTCCCAGCGGATCTGCACATGCAGCTGGTTCGGTCCGGGATGCAATGGCCAAAGCTTCGACCTCATCTTCTACTTCAGCTATGAAACCACCGTCATCTGAGCGGCATGAAGCTCGAAGAAAAAAGAAAAATTTCTATGCCCAGCTGAAGAAGCAGGAGGATAATAAGCTTGCCGAGCTGGCAGAGAAGTACCGTGATCGTGCTCGAGAGCGACGTGATGGAGCTAATCCGGATTATCAGAACCTGGATCCAACTAACTCAACCAGTGGGTACCGAGCTGTGGCACCAGACATCAAATCTGGATTGGATGCAGCTGAACGACGACGTCAGCAGATTCAAGAATCTAAGTTCTTGGGTGGTGACATGGAGCACACTCATTTGGTCAAAGGTTTGGATTATGCCCTGCTCCAGAAGGTACGCTGTGAAATTGTTGCCAAGGAACATGATCAGGATGAAGAAATGGAAAAACTTGCTGATATACCAGCAGAAGCTCCGGTGAAACAACCAATACCAGAAAAAGAGCAACCAAAGGGAGACGAAATTGAATTTCGAACTGCGATGGGAAAGAATATTCATCGGATTCTAGAAATCCAAAGGTAGGTGTAATTGTTTGACTATTTCGAGCGTCTAGAACGATTTCAGTATAGGTTAGATGAAACCATAATAATATTATAATTTGGTGAACTGGACTTCAGAATTAAAAAAAAAATTGAAAGCTTGTGGTTTAAAGAATGATGAATATATTCTAAAAAACCACACACAGTATACCTTCTCACGCCAGTTCATATTTCATAATTTGGAGTTAAAAGTATTTAAGATGAAAGGGGACCTCCTTAGCTCAGTCGATAAAGACGCAGCTATAAAACTGGATGCAAAGGGTATTTTTCGGGTATGAAAATTTCTCGATTTTTTGACATAGAGTTTCATTGTACAATAAATGTAAACATACGGCTTTTACTAAGTTGTGCTGTACTGTTTCGTTAATAATTCAGCTGCAAACACATTCCTTGATTCGTGTGCCATATTCTGGATGCTAGATGGAAACCTCATTTATAAAACTATTGGGCAGAAATAGCGCAAAATCTGTTTATAAAACTGTGGCTATCAAAAGAGAAAGTCTATGAAGAGAATCGATCAGAGTCACTTACACTCCTACTCCTTTCCCTTATATGTTTTTCACAAAACTCACCGTGTTTGTTTCTTCCTTATGGTGCTGGTGTGCTAGCGCTAGTGTAGTAGAACTGTACTAAAAAGTAACCAGCATAATGTAAACACGGCGTCAGTATATACTAGCATAAGATTTCAGGAACAACTGAAATTCGTGGTAGTTGGTTGCGCTTGTTGAGCTAGTGAACTAGCGTGTATGCAAACAACCCATTACTCCCGCGGAGCGCACTAGACCACTTAGAACACCCGGGCTGTTAGTTTGAGAACTTTAGCCGTTGCTATTTTAATTAGTAACTAGTTTACGCACCGTCGTTGGTATCACGATTGTTAATTTATGTTTTTGACTTTCGCACCGGTAGTTGCAAAACTATCGTCAAACTTCGAGCTGAGCTTCGTGTTTTTTTTTCGATATTATTGATATACCTTACTATGAAGATTTAAGATTGAAGGTTGAGATACAACTACGGATCCAGGGGCCCAATAAACGGTCCTCCGGAAGATTCGAAACATTCGTAAAGGTTGTTAATTCGTTAAAAGTCCCTAAAGTTCAGCGATTTTTTTAATCACGTGTGGTGATGCAACATTAATTTGATTCTGAGATCATGGAACGGTCCTCTAAGATTTTTTTTAAATCACTTGTTATGAAACAATTCAAGGCAATTCAATTAACTTCAGTAAAATTCAGGAAAATTAAAAAAAAAACTTAGAAACTTAAGGGAAGTCTAGAGAATTTAAAGGAATCTCAAAGATTTTTCGGCAGTTCGAATTGCAAGTTTGATCACTACTGTTCGTATTTTTATTCTAAAAACAAATCTTAAAAGCTTTCAACATCCATATGTGGTTTAAAGTGAGTGGGATTGATAGATAAAGTAAGCTATGTCAATTGGATCTGCTTTGCTTCAAATTAGGGAGCTCCATTTGGATAGTTGGATGCTTATAGTCTATGTCAGAATTAAAGTGAACATTTTAAACGAAAGAAGATGCAAGTATAGAGTTGATAGTTCTGCTATAGTACGGCAGTGTGAAAATTGTATATAGAAAGCAGTAAGCGAACAAAGGACAATATTAAGGAAGGTACGAATCGGGTAAAGCATCCCCATTAACAATCTCGTCCGTTGGTAAGGGGTGGTGAACAGTGTTTTCCATCGCCACCATTGGCAAAAGGGATGATCACCGATTCGCTCATTTTCCTTCTGATTTATGTATATGTATGATAGTCAGGCAGACGGTTCTCCGATACGACCCAAGAACGCTGCAGAGAGAGTTCGGTGTTATCAAGTCTTCGGTTTGTTTACAATTTCCAACGCGCGCATCAACACGATTTTCTGTTTACTTTCCTAGTCACAACATTCTTAAACATCACTTATGAAATGTATTTCCGATACAGCCATCACAAATTCAACGTTGTATTCTTATTGCTTATGAAGTTTTCTGATTATACTATCATTCAATGTTTCATATTTAAAGAACTAAATTGTTTGAGTTTCACTCATTTTTTTCTACATTCATCGAGCATTATCAAAGTAACCCCAAATCAAAATACTGAAGTTCGGTCACAAAACTAAAAAAATAGTGCAAATGCTGTAAATTTCATTCAACATATTACTAACGAATTAACTCTTGGATCCTCAGTACTTGTTTTGAAATATAAAATTTGAAAAACATTCATTGCAGTAAAAAAATATTTAGAATATACTTTAAAAAAAAACTATCAATGTTACCCCGTTTAACGGTATTAATGTTCTTGTGAATGCCTGTGAAATCTTTATCTGATTGCTTGCTGTAAAGAAGCTAGTAGGGAGCCGCGCTACTTCGTCGTATCATGGCGCCTAGTTCCGTTCTATGTGCTAAAACTATAGTAGCAAAGCGTTTTCACTCATGTTTTTGCAAAAACATCTTTGCTTACAAGATTAATTACGATTGACACTGAAACATTTGCGATAACCCGTAAAATGAGCGATATTAGGGGTGTATGACGAAGAAAGTATGACGGACTAGCGCGGAGCCCTATCTAATGTCTGAAATTTAGAGATCTATAAGCCCCTAAATCTTGAGATTTCTGTTTTTGATACTGCGAAAAGTTTATCTCAAGGTGAAATTGCGAAGTGTGATATGAATGAGGACTCTTTAAACAAACCTTTGCTTCTAACAATTTTACGGATTTCCAGTTTGTTTAAATTTTCCGCAAATTGTCAACGATTAAGGATCTTATTTAGCGGATTTTGATTACAACATGATCTCAAAATCATATGATTAAACATTTCATAAACAACGCTGGTTTAATAACTCTTATTATTAAAAAGACTGACTGCTGAAGTTCATAGAAACTTCCGAAAGTTCGTAGAACTTCCCTGAAGCGTTAAGGTCTTTCCTGAAGGGTTCATTGAAGTTTGTATTGCCGGAATTTCATGGGAATTCCCCGAAGTTCGAAGGACTTTTTTTTAAAGATCTTAGGACTTCCCTGATGTTCGGAGTTTTTTTTTGAAATTCATAGGAATTTCTTAAATATCGTAATAGTACCACGAAGTTCGTAGAAATTCTCAGAAGTTCGTAAGACTTCCTTCAAGTTCGAAGAACTTTCTCGAAGATCTGAGGACTTTTCTGAAGTTTGAAGGACTTAACCGAATATATGAGGACCCTTGATTTAGAAGAGCTTCCCTGAAGTTCATAAGTCTTTAAATATATCGAAGGGTTTTCCGAAAGTTTGTGGGTCTTTCCTTAATTTCTTGGAAATTCCCTGAAGTTTGGAGAGCTCCCATGAATTTCGTAGGACCTGTAGTTTAATCGACTTCTCGGAAGTTCTAGGAACTTATTTGAGCTTGGAGAACTATGTTAAGTTCAGAGGACTTCCCAAGAGTATTGAAGACTTCTCTGAAGTTCGGAAAAAAAATCCATATGTGTCATAGGATTATCCTTAAGTTTTAAGCAATGCCTAAATGTCGTAGAAGTTACATTAAATCTGTAGAAAATTCTGTAAAATTCGTAGTTATTCCCCAAAGATTAAAGGACTTCCCTGAAGTTCGTAAGACTTCTCTGAAATTTTTAGAACTTCTCTGAAGGTTCGGAGAGATTTCCAGACCGTCGTAGGTCATCACAGTAGTTCACAGGATTTTCCTGAAACTTGTAAGACTTTCCCGAATTTTGTAGAAGTTGCATGAAGTTCGAAGGCCTTATCTGAAGTTTTTAGAAATAGAACTTTTTTTATTGAACATGTACTTCAAAATAGTTACGCGTCGGCACTGCTTAAGTCTGCTATCAATGAAGCACAAATCATACATGCAATTGATTCGAGAAAAAAATTAAATTAATAATAAATACAAAATATATTTACTAAATTATTAGGGTAAATTTTGTTCATCAATGTTTAGTTGTGTGAAAGATTTAGCTTGAACAAAATGGTTAGTTTGACCTGATTATAAAAAGAAACTTTAACATACATAAAATTTAAAACCTACTGGTTTTGGTGGACTTATGAAACTCCTGGTTTTTTTCCCGGTTTTTCCTGGTGAAAATAAATTCCCGACTTTTTCCCGGTTTTCCTGGTTTTCCTCGTTCACTTGCCACCCTGAACAGAGCATAGAGGAAGTAGATGAATTCTCATGTGAGTTAAGGCATCGCATAATGATCCAAGTCTAAAACTGGCTACTTCCCTAGGGGTTTCCGGAAATTGACTGGATGTGGCCAGCGTGAACGTGACTATTCCTAATAACTGCCATTGAACTGGTTGTTGAATTTTAATGTGATTCAATGGTTTTTAACCATATTCAGAAACAGGCCACTTCTCCGGTGGATCGAAACATGGCCAGGTGTAGCCAATGTGACACTGGGTCCCCTAAATGACTTCCATTGAACTGGTTTGTGAATTATAATGTGATTTGAGGTGTCACATGATAAGTTTTATTCGTTTGAGGTCGCAATTAGCCTCATATAAACCGCAGCATGTTCCAGTCATATTTCTGGAATTTGTTAATAAAGATAAAAAAAAATATATATATTTCTGGAACCGGTTGACCGATTCCAAATAAATATGTGCTCTATGTGACCTATGTGACTTTCATTTAGCGGCTGGTAATTGGTTTATGCTACTTGGCCCTGCGGGCTCTTAAGCATACAAATGGTACTTTATAAAATATGTCCAACCATGATTCAAATTCATTGCTGAATAAAAACGTTCAACAAAATCCTATTATGAGAACATAAAGTCTGGAACGCTCAAACATTTGTCATCTTCAAATTGGTGTATTTCTGTTAAAAATGCATTAAAAAAAACCTGATGCATTTGAAAGTTGAGTGTATATACAATGGTTGCTATGATGAGTTTTCAACGTTTGCTCTCCAGTTTTCAAAATGACGTCCAAGCAAGAGGAGCAGCGTGTCAACATTTTGCTCGCGCAGCAAGAGAATCCGACGTTCTCACACGCTAAGTTGGCAAAATTGCTGGATGTGGCCAAATCGACCGTGAAAAACGTTTTAAAAGTGTTCGGGGAGCGTCTGTCGACCGCCAGGAAGCCTGGAAGCGGTGGCAATCGTAATCCGGACGTGACAGCGACGACGAAGAAGGTGGCGGTGAAATATAAGCGGAATCTTAACCTCTACATCCGGGACGTCGCTGGCAAGCTCAATGTCTCCCATACTACTGTGCAGTGGGCCAAGAAACGAACCGGGTTGTCGACGTTTAAGAAGGTGAAGGTGGCGAACCGAGATTACAAACAAAACACGTCGGCAAAGCAGCGGTCCCGAAAGCTGTATACGAATCTGCTCACAAAGTTCGACTGTGTCGTCATGGACGACGAAACTTACGTGAAGGCGGAATTCAAGCAGCTTCCGGGACAGGAGTTTTATACCGCATCAAGAAAAGGGAAGATGGCTGAAATTTTCAAAACCATCAAACTATCGAAGTTCCCGAAAAAATATCTCGTCTGGCAGGCCATATGTACATGTGGTCTAAAAAGCGGCATTTTCATTACTACGGGAACCATCAATCAAGAGATCTACATCCAGGAGTGCCTGGAACCATTCCTAAAGCAACATTATAGACCTGTGTTGTTCTGGCCGGACTTGGTGAGCTGCCACTATGGGAAAAAGCTAGGGGCACGCAATAACCTTTAACTCCAACGCAGGCAACGGCTGTAATCAAATTAATTCCATTAACTACTGCTTTAATAACATTAATTACACAATGTTGAACATTAACTACTTTTTAACTCCATTAATTACAGTTGAAATTTCGTAATTAAGGAAATTAATTACATTTTCAATACTTTTAATTACAATAATTACGGATAGATAATTTTAATTACTGTCAGTACTACTTCAAAACGCATTAATTACTTTAAGTACTTTTGATTGCATTTTAACTTCAACACACCGGTTCTTTGTATTGCGTGCCCCTCGGGAAAAAGGCAATCGAGTGGTACGATGCGAACAACGTGGTTGTGCTACCCAAAGATCACAACCAACCCAACAGCCCAGAACTCCGCCCTATCGAACGGTACTAGGCCTTGGTCAAACGCAATCTCAAGAAAAACTAATAAATCCATGGAAAACGAGCAGCAGTTTAAATTTAACTGGTGTTCGGCGGCGAATAAGGTCGATGAGACCACTGTGCAAAATTTAATGGAAAGGATTAAGCGGAAGGCATGGCAGTTCGGATTTGGCAAACCAAAAGAATAAACGAACATTTTTTCCCTTAAATATATGAATTGAACTACCAAAAATAAGAAGATTTTTGTGATATGATTTTTTACTGAAAGAAACGAATTTTTTGTCGACCATTTTTTGCGCGGTCCAGTCTTTAATTCATTCTTTAGTATTATTAGAAACTATAAAGGTAGACTTTTTCATCAAACACACATTTTTAATGTCCATTTGCTAAATTCATAGAAAAAACACGGCATACATTTAGGCGCAGTGCGAAAATGACTTTTTTGTTTGTTAATTGCTTTATTTGTACAGGCTCAATCGAATAAACTTTACAGAGCCAAGTTATCATTTTCGTTAAACATTGTAAATGTCTTACATCTAAAATTAAAGGATATCAACCGATTACTCGCGGTCTTCTCGAGGTTAGTGGATGACAATTGTATGGATTGGGAGAGGGAGAAGGAGATTTGGAATAAAAAATTACTTAAACAGGTCCAACCAAAATCCATTACCCTACAGCGGGCCAAGTTGAAACTCGTGAGGAAGTTGAAATGATAGATGTGTCTCTTAGCGGAAGTAAATAATCACTGAGATTATTTGTAATATAGTAGTTTGCAGTAGCACACAATGCCTTTCAAAAATAATTACAGTGAATATAAATTTCCGCTAAGAGATACACGTACCGTTTCAACTTACCCCGATGTACCTTAACTATGATGCTTACTATCAAAACATTGAACAGGTGGAGAACCTGTATACGAGCTTTTGCTCTTACTTTGAAATTCAATAACTGAAAAATAGGGGGATTTTCAATTAATGTTGTACTAAGCACCTACTTATTGGAAACCAAACGTTTGATTTGAGAAAAGTAACAGTAATATGTAATTTTATGTTAGGGTTGTCTTTCAAATTGGAAAAAAGGAGGTGATCGTTATACCCCTTCGTCCCCTACTTCGCTGACATATGAACCAACATTTTGTTCAATATTGAAAGTACCGTCTTCTGATAAGGAAAACACAACTGCCTGTTGGCGTCTTTGTGGACTATCTGGGGTGCAACTCCAAAATATATAACGGCTTGTTGTTATTTAAATTTTCATAATTTACTACATTTCAGAAAAAATACTTAAACCAACATTGAACCATAACCGAAACATTGAAATACTTGAAAAAATTAAGATAAAGTATAATAGCCAAAAATGCATGACATACTTCAATTTTGCATAGTTCTCTGTCATTCTGCGGTCGTGTCTAGGACACAATTCTTTAATTTTTTTTCTTTGGTAAATAGTTGTTTAGATTTTCCTTTTTTACTAGAATTTTAGGTTATTAGTTAGGTAGGTTCCGATTCTGCAGTTTTATTTTTATACCTGTGCTTAAGGGGGATATATTTAAATAGATCTTTAATGAGAATGGCACTGATGAAGACTGCACATTGTAGTCGAAATACGTATTCTAAAGGTTGTTACGATCAAAATTTGTCGACTTAAACGACCTGAATGTCCCTCATTTTGTAGGTGTGTGCGTACAAAATGATGCCTTTATTTTGGTTTTGATATTTGCTCTTCTGTTATCAAAATGACGTCCTAGCAAGAGGAGCAACGCTTGAAAAAATTTCACGCGCATCGCGAAAATTTGAACTATTCGCACGTCGAGTACGTCACGGTAGACTTTAAACAGCTTCCTAAGCTTTAAACGGCAACCGGAAGGGGAAAGGTGCCGAAGTTCGCAAATAAATATTTGGTTTGGCAGGCTATCTGTACCTGCCGTTGGCTTGAAAAGCGATATTTTCATTGCAACCATGACCGTCAACCTGGAAATTTACATAAACGAGTGTCTGAAAAAACGTCAGCTGTCTTTTCTGAAACAACACGATTGTTCCGTGCTGTTTTGACCGGATTTGGCATCCAATACGAAAAAAAGTCCATGGAGTGGTATGCCGCCAACAATGTGCAGAGTTCCGCCAAATCGAAAAGAAATATTGGGCCATCGTCAAGCGGAACCACCCTTTAGAGCACTCTCTCTAAACTTGCTTTTTGAAATGGTTGTATCTATGTTCGATGAACATGTTTCAAGCTACATTTCGTTTTTTTTTTCAATCATTCTGGGCTAAAATTCATAATGATGAATAAAATTAGACACGAATGATATCATTGCTAAGATCCAGAGACCGCGTCGGACCCACGGTCCGCACGTTGGACAGCGCTGCTTTAGGGTAACAAAAACAAATATTCACAGCGTCACTATGCCACCATGGCTCTCGTTCAAATTGGTTAGCCAAATTGGTCAACATAAACCCATTTATAAAGCGAGTTGAAGTTTGTAAAGCGAAAGATCTCAAAATGTATGTAGAAATACCATCGCTTCAGAGATTCGGCACTAGGTAGCGTCGTAAACGTGCAAACATCATCAGGGGCCTTTTGCCTGTCATGCTAGATTCTTCAAATTGCATAATGGATTTGTGCAGTAAGTGTTATGCCCTTTGCCGGATATAACACTTCAATAAAATGCTAATAACGTTGTTGGATCAATTCGGACAAAGTTGTTATGCCTATAATTTTCTATAAGAGTCTCAGGCCTGAAAGCCTCATAGTGGCGAAACGTTAAAGTAATGGTATGTATCCATACATTTTGATGATTCTTCCCATACAAACTTCAACCCGCTTTAGAAATGGGAAAATGTTAACTAATATGGCTGAAATTTGGACCAGGGTCTCAGGGTGGCATGGGGAACAAGTGGCTTCGTGGCACCACAGACGTCATTGTCAAAAATTATTCAAAATCCTTTTTTTTGCACTTATGAGTTTCCACTAACAATCCAATTTCATAAGATTCATCGAATTTAATTGTTTGAAATTTTGTTCTACGAATGTCACATTACTACAAAAATGTGATTTCAAATCAACATTTTGCAACAAAGTGACGTTCTTAGAACAAATTTCCCTATGATGAATAATGGTCCAAAATCAAGTGATTTCGACATCAATAGGTGTGTTCGACGCACTGAACATGATGGTCGATGGTTATTACCCATTAGGACAAAAAATGAATTCATCTTGAGAAAGGAGGTTTCTAGTTTTTTCTACAATGAATAACATTTATTCTCACATAAAGTTTTAATTCGCAAATTTATCGCAGTTCTACTGTTCACCAAAATCTTAGATTTGAGTCACAGAAGTGATCCATGTTCTGTATGTTTCGACACGGGTGTATCCCGTTGGAGTCGTGTTCCCGCAGCTCTGGGTAATCAGCGAGGCTATTCCAGTAATGACTGGGCGACCGCGGACACTAGTGACGAAACCGGCTCCAAGATCTCCATTGCAGATATTCGAAATATCAATGGTATCTTCAGCGCAGAAGTGATTTGGGAGCGTAATTTGATAGTGCTGCTGGCAGCGAATATTCGGAATTACCCGCTGGAATGCGCGCATCAAGAAGTCCGATCGGGTCGTAGCTATTGGAGGGAAGACAAACATGTTTGACATTTTTTTGATATGTTATAATGTTTTGCTGTAAAAAAGTAACTTACAAGCTGCTGTTACGAAACCGAAGCCAACGACGGTTCCTTCCTCATTTTCAAAAGGGTATCCATTCGAAATTTGGCCTAGTGCTGGAAGTGAAATCGGAGATACGGTCGATGTGAATACGAGGGATGCAGGCAAGGTGATAATGCCGATGTCGTTTGCTCGGTTTGCCGAGTTGAATTGAGGATGAGACACTGCTATGTTTGAAGTGATCGTGTTAAGTTGGGTGAAGATGTTACTTCCTAGTCCAACGTCCCATCGAATAAATCTGTGAAATATAATGTTGGTCATAAGATTTCAATAAAATGCCTGGATGTAGGTGTTAACTTACCCTTGGATGTTCTGGGCAGCAGTTAGAATGTGGCGATCAGAAATAATTGAACCACCGCCAAAGAATCCTGCGTTTTGGGCATTCAGGTACAGAACATACGCATTATACGGTTGATGAGGTGCACTTTGTCCATTGATGATTCGTGGATTACGGTCTGGTGCTGCCTAGATTAGTCAAATATTAATTCTTGGTCACGATTCGTAGTTTCTACTTTAACCTACCTGAGCTCCCAAGACACACAGTACTGCAAAAAGTGCAATTAGCTTCATTGTTGGTTTGCTGCCGTTAGATTACTTCTGATGAGGGAATAACAAACCAGTTCTCTTATATAGTCTTATTACGTGGTTTCGTCAAATTTCCCGAGACATGTCACCGTTATCAAGACACGAGCTATTTGTCGTCGATAAATGACCACCCGAATACATCTACTGCATACGAGTCGCGTAATCTCGATTATGATAAAAAATACATCGGTTGTATATGTTTTGCCGGCCTGCAAGTCTGACACAGAACAGGGACCAAACGAGCAGGTTGATATCGAAACATGCGTGTGATAAAGATTACACAAATTTCAATTTTGAGCCCTATGGTGAAATCGATTGTTTTACATTTGGTCGATGCCATGTCAATCGGAAAGAATGTTAAAGTGACCATAATAAACTAGAGAAATAAATATATCCTGTGTACAGTACACATCATTCAAACGGCAAATTTTGATAATTTCGTTCCACAGTGCTCAAACAATTGAACATTGAGTTCTGATTAGCTTCTCAAAATATAATATCATTTCATTATAATCTGACTTTGAACAAACCATTTGAATTCCATGTGGAATTCCAATGAGGAAACTAAACTTTTTGTGAATGCCCTTCTAGCCGTTGACCATATTCGCCAGTTTGAATGACTGATAGCTGTGCTAATAGGAAATTTTCTCAACTACAACTATGCTGAAGCCCGCTTTCCGATTAAAGGTAAGGAAGATAAGTTATTGATTATTTAAGACGTCGGTAACCATCAAACTTGCACATTCAACTGTCACAGTGCAAAAAACGTATGCCCGCAAAGCAGGTGCTGGAGTTGGATCATGTTTAAAAATTATTATTTTTGTGAACCTTTAGCTGGAAAAGTTGTAGCAATTAGTTATCAAACTTTTTCGCAGAGCGGCGTAGTAAAAGCAGGGTGGCCAGCGAACCGCGAAAACCGGGAATACCAGGAAATATCTGGGAATTTGAAAAGTAACTGGGAAAACCGGGATAAACCCGGGAATTCGATGAGAGAACCGGGAAAAATAAATTAACCACACCATAGGAATACATTTTTAAATCAGAATTTCAGAACAAACCATTAAAACATAGTTATTCTTTACCGAATGAATGTCTTTCTCTATTTGCTGCATAATTTTCTTCAGATTCCTGTCTTAATCAACAAGTTTGGTATTTTTATTTTAGGCCGATGCAAATATTATTTTCATTTTATGTCGAGTGGTGGGGGGAAATGTGGGGTTCTATAAATAAATAACAAAGAACTAATAAAAAATAATGCCTAATCATTTTTTTTATAATAAATTGATAAATTAATAATATTAAAAAAAATTGTGTAGTTTTTGGATAAGAGAAGATGAATAAATAACGTAACATTTAAGGGTGACCAGTAGACAGATGCAAAATTTGAAATTTTCGCTCCGCAGTGCTCAAACGGTTTCAAATCAGGTCCTGATTAACCTTCCAAAATTTAAACTAATTTGGCACAAACTATTCGAAGTTTATATGGAAATTACTATGGGAAAACCAAACTTTTTTCTACCCATTGTCCATATTGCTTTTTCGAAAATTTCTAAAACTATTCTTACGGGAAATTTTCTAAGCTACAACTTTGCAGAATATCGTTTTTCAGCCAAATGTCAGATTAAATTGTTATTAATTGTTTAAGAGATTGATATGGTATGATCAAGAAGCTGTTCTGTGGGCAACACTGTATTCTGCAGTGTGACATAGTAGCCATAATATTTGTGCTCTATTCTTCGCACCAGAAACACCAATGTTGCCTGCTGAACAGTTGAATGAGCATAATCATAAGACATCAGTGACTTGAATCATTAATAACTTTTGTTTCTTACATTAGATTGAAAAGTGGTTTTCAACAAAGTTGTAGCTGAGAAAATTTGCTACAATCACTGTTGTCATTTTTAAAAGCATAGTGATGTGGTGAATTGTTAGATAAATATGAACAAAAACATAAGTTTTCCCATAGTAATTCCCATATAAACTTGAAATGGTTTGTGCCAAGTCAGTTTCTTACTAAAGTAGTTCAAATTTTGGGAGGCTAAGCAGGACCCAATTTGGAACCATTTAAGCACTGTGGAGCGAAAATTTCAAATTTTGCATCAGTCTAGTGACCAGCGATGTTAACCAATACGCTACAAGGGGGAGGGTGGCAAACTTTTTTTGTGCTTTTTCTACAAATGCTACGTCATTTATGCATCTTCCCTAAAGCGCAGAGTAAGTGACGATCTTGAATAGGGCTGATTTTTTAACCCTTCTTCTTCTTCCTCGCATTTCAAGCTTATTGCTTATCATATATTAGCTTATTGCGTGCTCTCAACTTAGTGCACTAGATGCACTTCCACAGTTAATAATTGAGGGAAGTCAAGACATTTCCCAACTCGAAAAATTCTTAGACCGGACTGGGAATGGAACCCAGCCACCTCCAGCATAGTCTTGCTTTGTAGCTGCGCGTTTACCGACTAAGCTAAGGGAGCTAAGGGACTGAGCAAACCCCTTCAATACTTTTAGACGAGGCTCGTTAGCTTAGTGGTTACCGTTTCGGGTTACTGAGCGGAAGGTCGGGAGTTCAATAACAGGCCCATCCCCTTCCTCAAATTTGGCACTGCCTCATTGTATCCCAATAGATTTTAATGAAAACAAATTATGCTTTAACCGATCGCATCACTACTAAGGGTAGAGAATTACTTCGGCATAAGCGCACATCTTCGTCATATCGAGCAGAAACATCAAATAATTTATCAATGATTTCGTCATGAACTAATCAATAATACACGTGAATTCTCTTGTAAAAAATGGGTGCGGTTGTGTACAAGATATGAACCGCATGGTTGACGTAACTACGTTAAGGTTTTTAGTGAACTTTCTTTTTTTTTCCTTGATTTGTTTTCCGTCGATCTTGTTTTCCGTGCTGAGCACCAATGCTACCGACGCCAGGAAGGCAGCTCCCACACCTGGACCCTACCTATCGACCCATCAACTCATGAACCGGGGACCAACGGCTTTACTTCCAATAACTATGTATGTGCTTAGAACAACATTAATAAAAATTAGGGGAAAATTCAATTTCAAAATCAGAGCAAACGCTCGTATACAGGTTCTCCACCTGTTGAATATATCGATAGTAAACATCATAGTCGGATGTAAAAATGAGCGCCATAAATAAAATATTAAAGTTGCAACAGCCTTCAAAAAATAAACATTAAATGTTTTTTGCAAAGTCAGTATTTAATCAAATGAATCAATTTGTTCCGTTCATTGGACCATAGTCCAAGTAGAAGGGAAATCGTCCAGAGGATTGAATTCTTGGATGGTTGTGAGAAGAATCCTTGGATTAACGATTCCCTTTGTTTGATGGATCTTAGACTTCAGTGGACTGTACATGAGATGATCGGTTCGACGAATGAGAACACTTCTACTTTTTAACCATCTAATATGTTTATTCACTTTACTTCTGCTTCTGTGCAGTTCGGTGATTCGATAGCGACTAACTATTCTTTATCGAATGGGATTAGGGAAATGGGATGTTCTGGCTGTGTTTGTTTTTGATGTTGTTGTTTCAGTGTGAGCAAGCAATGGTAGGGGATGGATTAGAATTAAATGAACGCTCTGATTTGTTGAACACGGAAAATAATTCGATACTATCATAGACTAACACTAAGACCAAGGGGTCACGAAGAAACATGCTCAATCTTTTGGCTAGGGAAGAAACAAACCTTCGGCCCGAAGCAAATTGAAGCATCCCTCGACACGTAGGAAAATCCACGAACCCCTTCATTAAACACTGTCAAATGCGCCTTGTAAAAGTAAAAAAAAAAACCGTTGACAGCTTCTAGTACGAGCATGGGGTACGCTTTTAGATGTACTTGGGAACAAAGGGATATTTTGACAATAATATTGATGATGTGCATATGTACAGATATATTGTCAATATTGGGGTACCGTAGACCCCCGGTAATCTGAACTCTTTTTTGTTTGAACCCCGGTAATCTGCACGCCATGCAGACTAAAAATTGCTCAAACGTTATTCACACTGAGGCAAATAAACTTAAGAATATCATAAGACTCGACTCATGAACGGCACACATAAATTTCATAAGCGTGACTTATGAATGATTTTCGTCTAACATGAGGTAGCTCTTATACGCCTTTAATCTTATCATTTTCACAAGTGTTGAAAAACGAGTGGTCAGTACATCGGCTTCGTAATCTCAACGTCCATGGTTCGGTTCCAGTCTGCTGCATTTTATTATTTTTTGTCAACATTATTTTTCATAAGGCAAATCAATGAAATTCATATCGATTTCTTGTGGCTAAAATTCATAGTGGTTCTTATGGAATTCTTACGTTCTTTTGCCTCAGTGGCAAATCATAGATTGAATAAAGCGAAATGGAACATTGTGAAACGGAATACTGAATCAAAACTAAACAGTAAATAAGGATACCAGAAATACGCTGCTCATGAGGGTTATTAGAAGTTCAAATTAAAATGAATCCCGTTCATGAAGTTTTCTTCAGATTAGTGGGGGTCCAATATAGAATACATATGTTGACAATACGATTATTGTCAATAAAAGCGATCGTGTAGGGTTCGCTTTATACATTTGCGACAGTTTAACAGTATAATGAGTCCATACACAGTGCAATCTGGTTGACAATCAGGATGGGATGATGCCCGAATGTATCAACAATCAATACGAAACTAACGATTTTAAATTCGCTCATTAATTGACTAGTCCATTGGTCCCAAGTACATTATAAGCGTACCCCATTCTCGTATTACAATCTGTGTTTGTTTTGATTCGTCTTATATTGCAAATTGATTTGCAAGAACCTTGCAGCAAAATCCTAGCAGCGAGCGCTGTCAAATTCTCAAGTTATTGTTATTGACGATGTTACTATTGTTAGTTACTCCTCTGGAGTATTCCATAAGCGATTGTCATTCTGTGCGTGAAAAATTGCAGACTGTTTCACTCCAACACGAATTGCGAGTCATCAAATTGTCAAACCAAGCTATCAGAGCAAATGAACAAACTGTG